CGAGAGGTAATCATCGCATAGAGATGGTCTTTCCTTTTTACAAAACATAATATTAAAAAAAGTTAAAATCCAGACCCTCCCAATAAAATTAACAAAACACAACAAAGCAAAACAACAAAAATCAAATCGCTCTAGGTAAAAGTATGGCTTCAAAGTTATTATACACCTAAGATACACTGATCACTCCCCACCCACCACCGTGCTTCTAGACTGTTCAATCCTCTACTCGAGTTCCCCAGGTGCAGCTTGGCGGTTCCCTCCTGGGCAGGGCCCCTGACTGATGTGGTGCGGAGCTCACACCTCTGCCCCACCCAGGTCGAATCACCCACGCAGATGCCTCCCCACCCCCGCCCCACCCCCAGCCCACCACTACCAAAAATATACACTGCTGCTTCCAGAACCTGGGATATGGGAGACAGATGTGAGATTCCAATCTGAGTCCCTTGATGCTGCAGACGCCAATGCCTTGGGGGGGGCTCCTTCCCCATGGAGGCTGGTGTCCTAACCACAACACTCCAGCAGCCACCCCCAAAGATTCTTTCCCTGCCCCCCACCCCCACCCCCACTCCTCCCCTCCATGGTGACCCAAAGGCCTTCCTCCGAGGGCGAGTGGGCCAGCTTTGGTTCCAGTCTGAAACGGAGAAGGGCTGTGTTGACACAGAGGTGTGCAGGGCGGCCTGCGGGGAGTCCCGGGGCTAGGTGGGTGCAGGGTCCCCGGCTGGGCACCAAGACTAGACGCTGCTCACTACTGAACACAGAGGCACCAGCACGCGGATGGCAGGACAACCACAGCAGCCCTGCACATGCACAGAAGCTCAAGCAGGTAAGTGTGCACCTACAGACACGGACACACACACACACACACACACACATACGTGGAAGGGCGTGGCACAGACCAGGCACAACAGAACGCACCTCAGCACATGCACACATGGCTGGACACACATGTGGCGGGTTCAGGCTCCATTGGCCACCCCTCTGGTGTCTGTGCGAGGGGGCCGGGGGCCCTTGGCTCAGAGCTGCCAGGGTAGGGCTGCCCTGGGGTTGCCTCAGGTGTGCTGTGGGCTGGCCCCTGAAGGAGCCCCTCGGGGCCACTCAACATTGGCAGCCACAGCCCCTGCGGGCCACCCCTCCCGGCTCCGGCTGCAGGCCAGATGCCCCAGGGTGCCTGGAGAGCTGCAGCCGTCCAAGTGGTGGCATGGGTGCTCGCCCTTGGCACCCCCATGCCGACAGGAGGTAAAAAGAAGAGGTGTCTGTGTCTCAAACCCAACGTGGGAGCGAGCGTGGCTCTCCGGCAGCTCGCTGCTCTGTCCCCCGGGCGGGCCAGGGCTGCTGGCCACCGAGGGCTGGGCAGAAACGAGAGGTAGGCCTCCACTGGATGCTCATCGCGGCAGCACCGGGGGAGTCCTCGCTGCCCGGGTCGTGGGGGGCAGGGCTAGATCTTCACATCCTCCTGAACGCTGAGCTGCGAGAGGGTCTTCTTAATGCGCAGGGCAGTCAGGCGGGCTGCGCCGTTGGCGTACCAGCACTCTCGCATCATCTTCCCCATCACCCGCAAGGCCTGCCAAGAGACCAGAGTCTGTCCGTCACCTGCCACCCGGGCCCGGGCTCAGTTCCTGGCGCCACCGCCCACTGTCTCCACATCTCTTGCCCTTACTCGCTTGTCCCCTCAGGCGTGTCCTCCCACAGGGACAGGGTGGTCAGGGTAATGGGAAGAAGCTGCTGCCTGCCTCCGGCAGAGAGCGGCAAAGCCTGGGGACCAGCAAGCACCAGCGGGACCATCTGGACCAAACCCCTCAGACACCAGGGGGTCCACCCTTAGGCCTTCAGGATGCAGAGCCCATTTAGGATGATGACTGACCATGCTAAGAAAAAATGACCCACAGCAGGGGTGGTGGTGGCGAAGGGAGAGGAGAATGTGGGCCAACCCGCTGCCAACTGGCCAATTCCCACTCACAGCGAGCCTCGGGCAGGCCCATCTGTACCTGGGAGTGTCGGAGCCCCATCTTTTGCCCACAGAGCAGCTGGTGGCTTCGAACGAAGCTACTAGGGCTCCCCTTAAAAGCCATCTGTCAGCAGCAGAGGATGGCAC